ACCCCAGCCTAGTGAGAGGAGCAGAAAAGAGGACCTCCAGGCTGGAGAGAGTGTTTGAATACAAGAACCCATAGCACCATGGACAGGGCTAGTGAGCTCCTAGCCTCAGAACCTTGTGATGAGCAGACTGGACAGCCTCCGGTGGAAGTGAGCCAGGGAGCTACCAAGTTCCTAACATCCTGGCAAAGAACTTACGCAACACCCCTCAGCCACAGAGTGAGCCCACAAAGAGGTGGACTCAGTTATAGGGGGGAAAGGCCATATGCCGTGCTTATTGAGAATACAATGGCAAAGCAGTTATCATATACCTACATAGCCAGACACACACACACCGTCCCACCACTCACTGTCCAGGACTAACCAGATTGCTTATGCCTGAAGGAGCAGGAGTCTATTGGTGTGGACCGATGCTCCAGTCTTTGGCAGGATGTACCCCCAAAACTATGGCAAAGAATCTTCTTTACATAGCAGTGTTCCTTCATTGGGGTCGGGGGATTTTGCACTAGCAACAACAGAAACAGAAACTGGATGTCGTATTTTAAGCTAGTGTATGCTATGTCTAAGAACTGCATTTTTACATCAAAAGCAAAGGTGGGGACACTTCTAGCTCATTTAATTAGCCTCATTAGCACCAGTCCTACAATTGACAGCTACCTTTTTTTCCCTGTTATAAATAACTTGGGAGCTGGAAGCTCAGGAACTTTTTGAAGTGCCGGGCTCTGAGGAAGGGCCGTTCTTTACCCTTCCCACCAGTGGTACTTCAGGTATTTCTTGCTCATGTACAGATATAGCAATACATGTGATTTGCTTTGCAAGTGCTCAGGGCTCTGTGTTGGGAGAAAAATGGGACACCTCAGATATCTCCTGTCTGCCTGGTGGGCTGTCTATGCCTGGTGGGCCTCTATTATAGATTAAGACAACTACAAAAGAAGGAACAAATGTAACGTATCTATGTGAGCGCATTGCCTGTGGGCATCTTCTTTGGCATTCTACATTGAACTGAAAACCAAAATGGCATTCAGGGTTCGGAAGTTCCTTCTATAAGAGAAATAAACCTCAAAAAGTCATATCCCACCCAATACCACCATGCTAACGGTGATTCCTTCCTCTTTGGTCTACTGGAAAAACTTTGTAGACTCTGAAGGGCAGGTGTTCAGGGAACTTTGTGACTCAGAGCTCTGTGAAGGGGACATGGATAGAATTGGACATGGGGGTATGTCTAAATTTGCTCATTAATTCAGACTAGGGATGCAAATGCAGGGGAGCGAAGTAGTTAATGAAGCGGGGATTTAAACATCCAGCGCTTCATTAACATGATCTTGCCGGTGCACTAGCCCAAATCACAGCTCATTAGGGCCAGGAAGTGTGCACCGGGATGCGGTAGTTCAGACCAAGCCCTTCCTTTGGGCTAACATGATGAGGAGTAACGTTAGCCCAAAGCAAGGGCTTTGGTCTGAACTACTGTATCCCGGCGCATACTTCCTGTTCCGAACCAGCTGTGATTCGGACTAGCGTGCCGGTGAGATCATGTTAATGAAGCACGGGATATTTAAATCCCTGCTTCATGAACTACTTTGCTCCCCTGCATTTGCATCCCTAGTCCGAGCTAATGAGCAAATTTAGACATAACCTGGAATTAACTTTTCAGGTTGCCGTGGGGAAAAAAATCCATTTACCAAAACCAAAACCAGAGAAAATTTCTGGTGAATTGAAAAGTCAACCAAAAAAATGAGTGATTCTGGGTTGGATGAATCATTTCAATCCTGCCATTTTCCCCTTTCCACTGCCAGCTTTTTAGCTCATGGAATAAATTCCTGGAAGAAAAAAGGGACCAACACGGTGTGTGGAAAGTTTCACTCACCCCAGTTTCATTTTGTGTCTTGGTCACTGTATCAAGGGATGATGGTCAGGAGGAGCAAATGGGGGTATAAAGGGCTTTCCTCTCGCACCTTCCCCCTTTTGGCCGAGTATGGGTGTTCACAAGCTCCTCTCCTCCCACGGGCTCTGGGTGTGGAAGGATCCCAGACCCACTTTCTTCTTGGTCGCCCGGGAGCAGACTTCGTTCCTACTCACTTGTGTAGCTAAAAAGAGCTGAGGGGGCCTATGGCCCCACCTACACCACTGGATCCCAGCCTAGAGACACCAGACCTAGCACTTGCCCACTAAGTGTCCCTACTGCCCACTGCTGCTCACTCCCTAGGCAACTCCTCCAAGAAGCTGCCCTCTTCTTGCCCTCTTTCTGGGCTTTGAGATAAATTCCTCACTGCACCCTGTCCAGGGTTCTGCAATTCACCGTAGCCCAGCATGACCTGGCTTCAGCCACAGGACCTAGGCTTTACCTGAGTCTGCAAACCAGCCCCAATTCGGAGCTGACTGAGTTACCGTTGCTTTCCCAGTCAGTCCCTGGGGCTGCCTCACTTGAATTCCAGAAAGGAACTGCCAGGTCCTGGCCCAGCAGCTTCTTTATACTGGCCCCTGATTGGCTGAAGCAGAAGCAGCCTCTCTAGCTTCCCTGGAGGACCACACATCTGCTCTTTGGCCAGGAGAAGGTGTGTCCAGGCCAGAAGCCACCAGCAGGAAGTTTTGGACCAAGTCCACCCCATCACAGGGAGCAAGCAAGGGAACACACTCCCCCAAATCTCCACGATTATGTGCAGCTCCTGCACCAGTCCTTGCCCCTGGCACATTGGATGTCACGCCGACCACATGTGGAGATGGGACCTTTTGTTCTTTTGTTTCCAAACCCGGTGCTCAGGCTGGAAATGTGGGCCTTAAAGGATTTTTTTTAAAGTGGGAAATTGGATTTTCATTTCAACTAGATTTGCATGGAAATCTAGTTTTCCTTCCAAAAAATCCCATCCCACACTCACAGCTCCCTTTTCTTTCCAGCAGTGTTGATTTCATTGGGCAGATCCAAGGGTGTCACGTATTAATTCTGTGGGTCAACCAAAGGGAGTTTATCTAGCATCCTTCTACTCTGCATCCCTTTCTGTGCTCTGCAGACGTCTTCTACCTATTGTCCCCTGCTTTGTGTCCAGGCACGAGGAGGAGAGAGATGATTTCCATCACACTGTGCTAGAATAATGGGACATGTATGTCAGTGACGAGTAGAGCTTTGCATTTCAAAGCTTTTTCTATAGCTTGGCACCCAGGAGCTAAGGGACTGGAGTCTCCCCACTCCAAGATATGGGGATCTTAGCGTCTCTTGATAATATTACAGAACCTATCTGATGTGCCAGTTTTTGCTGATGCTCACAGGAAAGGGAAATAGATTCATAATTCTTGGGCGCCCCTGTCCTTCTCTGCACCATCAATACAAATTGTTTTAAACAGAAGAATGTGGGTTTGCTACTTTATTTATACTTCCCATGTTCCATGGAGATATTCCTTGAAGAATGGGGGACATGTTTGACGAAAGAAAATCTGCCAGTCTGGACTACATGCAGTTACCTTTACTCAGTCAAACTATCCAGAGGCAGCGTTTACGAAAGCAGTCACTAATTCAGAGCGCTAATGGGCAGGTATGA